ACACACATAGTATAGATGCTACTGTTAGATAAATTGATATACACCAACATTCATCTCTCCTTTAACATTGTTTGTTTCTTATGCCGCACTCAGCAATATTCCAACCATATGACGGCGGTCTGGAAATAATCGAGTCTGGACGGGGTTTTGAGTGTGGGATAACGGGTAGGTGGTGTCCAGATTTTAATTTCTCAATGGTTTATTTTATTCTGGTGGAGAAATGATGAAATAGTTTCAAGGGACATGGGTTTGGGGTTAGACTAACATTTAGTCTCTGAAATCTTCAATATCCTTCTTGACCCTAAAAATATATAAAAATTCCCTATGCTAATGGAATAGAGCTAGCTTGAGCTGGCTAGACTTGCTTTTGTATGCGTTTCTAGATTATTATTTTTTTCATAAAATAAATACATTCCACGGTCATGGTGCAGGACTAGTTTGGGGTTTGAGGTGCCGGTGGGGGAAGGAGAAAAAAACCTCCATGACCTCTTCTTGATCTACCTATTAATATTCTTTAAAAAAATAATAATCAAGTATCATAACACGACATAGATATATGCTCTTCTTTGAAGTCTTTTCCAAATTTCATATTTCTTTCTTTACCTAATATCAGTTTTCTTTCCCAGACAGTTCTCACCGATTCACTATGATGCACACACAGTTTTGTAGCATACTTCCATGTATGTCATAGTTAACGACTGCCACATCATATTACTGAAACTGACACTGGCACAGGCTGCTGTAGTGTAAATAGGACACGACCGAGAGCCACAGTGATCAATCTACATGATTGATTCTACAACTAATGTATGAACTTACAAACAATTGTCAATGGGAGCCTTTATGTTTGACCAGACTCAGCTGTTACCCCAAAACTGAGAACAATATCATTGTGGACATTGTTCATTAACAGATTATAAATCAATAGAATATTTCATTTTCCATTTAAGGTACCTGTATTCAAGACGGTCAGACAGGGTGATTCTAGAGAGTGTATGTGATGAAATCTCAGCTCCATGCAACCAAATATTGTTCACAATTATAAATGTACACATTACAACGACAAGGCTTATTATTTTTATTCACCATGGCTACGATCTGCACCCTTTAATCAAACACATGAAATAAAATGGCTTATAGCTCAGATGCTCTAGTTATGACTACAAATGAAGTTGTGATATTGCTTGGCAGTCAGAATGTCCAAAGATTTGTGACACTGATAAAATTAAGATGGTGTCAAAATTCAAAAATCTTTATAAATCTTCATTAACCAATCCAGTAACCCTTAAGGGAAACAGTACAACATCCATTACAATGATAAATGTTGACCTACTTTCTTACAAAAAATGTCAATGAATCACGATAATTTCTTTTCAATGAATCATGATTTGCAAATGTATTTAAATCTCCATTTCAAACTTTACACCTTTGGTATTTGAATTCCAAAAACCCACAGCAAACATCCACAGTAATATACATTGGGTCCCAAGACCTACACACAACTGCAGTGCACCTGCTTATACCTGATAAGACCTGCTGTTTTGTACGAGGTTATGAAACAGTGAGAAGATAACTTACTTGAGCCCCCATCGCTGGAAAGCATACATCACCATTGGTTCTGTATGCAAATGGGAGAAATAGAATTGTCGGTCATAGGCAACAGCTCATCTACATCTCCTTCAAAGAAACTAAACTATATCCATATTCCTCATCTTCTCGAAACTGTTCTCTGTCGCCATCAAGACATTTCACTCCTTGCTAATCCCATGATATTCCCTGACAGGTAACAAGCCTGCGTCTGCTCCCCAAACGAAAGGAGAGAAACTGTCTTCCAGAAGTTCTCGAACTCTCAGGCAAGGTCTGTGACAGGCGTGAGCACTGGTCGGAGTAGTCGAGTAACTGATACCGCTGCTAGTCCTGCTTGCAAGTCAACTACTACGAGTGACATCCATATTACTGCATCAGAGACAGAGGGAGCAGGCCAACATGCTACCTGGGAGAGGCCATCAGGTGCATAGGGGAGGCAGGTAAGCAGCCCGCTCCAATTACATATTCCGAAATTGATACCCAGTTGCTAAAAGATATTTCTTTTTTCCAAAAGCTAATAATCATTTCGATGACTAATATGTGTTGGCGTGTACGTGAAAGGACCGATGCACTTTTTAAAGTTTACCCACAGCTGGCACCCAACACCCCTTCAAACAAACGTGAGAAAAGAAAGTGTTTGCTTTCCTGCTTGTATCAGAAGGGGAGGTTGAGATAGACTTTCCAATTACTCTGACAAACTGACAAACTTGTGAATGTTGTCACAGGCCAATCAGGCATCTACTTGGCCTGGCTGGATGCCCCCTGCACCACGACATGTTGGAGGTGAGTTGGGTGATGTACTGGAATCTAAATAAAGATTATGATAGTATCTTGGATGTAGTTCTAGTGAGAGCAGCTGGTTAAAGCAATGGTTGTGTTGTGTTTACACAGCCAATGAATCAACATCAGCAGCCAGCCGACACACACCCCATCCTGCTCACGATATTGCCCTTGACTACATGCTCAATATTTCCTTATTACATCTCACACACGGCCCCTCCCAACTCAACATCAACTCTCCCTATCTCTCACATGCCGCCACAACAGGGCTTGCTGTTCACTTACAATCACATAGATAATGTTACACTTGCAGCAAGCCAACAGAAGTTGCTTCCCTTGACACAGTGTTTGTAGTTCTTTCAGTAGTTATGTCCTAGACTAACCTCTCATCTCTAAGATGAACATACCTTACAGAAAAAACAGTTGTTAAATTATCTCAATAAAAATAGAATAAAAAGGAGCTCAGAGACTCTCTTCATTTTCTAGTATCTGAAATGAACATGTCTTACAGAAAAAAAACAGTTGTTAAAATATCTCAATAAAAATAGAATAAAAAGGAGTCTGAGACTCTCTTCATTTTCAGACGATACTGATACAACAAGGAGATAATAAGCAGGGTGAAACAAGGACTTACACAATGACTTATTAACCTACAAGGGCAAACTTATCGGGGTTCGTAAAAATCATATGTGCCCTAGGGTCATATCACGTCACGACACAACAGTGTATTGTTTCCGTCATCCGGACGTCATTCAAATCTTATTGTGATGTGAGGTCTGAATGATGTCACACTAGAAACAACGTCATAGCTGAGGATTGTTGATGTCATTCAACAAATTGTGGTTCTACTGCTGTTGCGACCTGCTGTCCTTATAGGTAAACACTAAAATTTGTCTGTGTGTGTAGACATCTTCTCCAGTAATGAAAAGAAAATTATATATTTAGACACTCGCGTCGTAAACATAGTATGACATGAAGACTGATATAATATCCCCTATATAAAATGAGCTTCCTTTTTCAAATCATTTCCCGAGAGGAATAATGTTTACCTGTACTGAGCTTCTGCAAGGGACAGAACAAATTATTCAACAAAGAGCATTCAGTTTTATATATGTATTTATGTATCTAAGCAAATGCATCATGTAAACTAATTTTGTTTCAGTGAATAAACCTACATTATAAGATATCCATTCTTGGTTACATTTCTAAACTTAGGAATGAATGACTAAATTAAAAGTAATATCAGAGAGGTCAACGTTCACATATCAACCAATCAAATTCTAAGCGTCATGACATTGTTTTGTGTTACCATGCCACGACAGATTAACTATAGTAACATGTAAGGATCAGGTGGTCCTTAACTTTCTTTTAGTGGTATATATCAAGACGACACCATTATGATGGCACAGATTAAAGTCGTTGCACGTTCATTCCCTTTCATCACTGAATCAGGTTCATTTAGATGTCATCTAACTCAGGTGTAAATATATATAATACATACCATTAAACAGAATTTCATGGCAAATAGCAGAGGAATGTCACTGACATTTGATGCCATCTGATTGACCTAACATACGGGGGTTCTCAGAAAAGAAGAATAATTATCCATGATTGCTAAAAATTAAGTTCTGATAGTCAACTCAAAACAATGACATGAAATAAACTATTAATGATATGGGTGCTGTTGTACAAAACAACCTTAGCACTACGACAGTCATAAGTCTATGTTAAGGTATGGGAGTCACCTTAGCACTACGACAGTCATAAGTCTATGTTAAGGTATGGGAGTCACCTTAGCACTAGGACAGTCATAAGTCTATGTTAAGGTATGGGAGTCACCTTAGCACTACGACAGTCATAAGTCTATGTTAAGGTATGGGAGTCACCTTAGCACTACGACAGTCATAAGTCTATGTTAAAGTATGGGAGTTAGGATCACCTTAGCACTAGGACAGTCATAAGTCCATGTTAAGGTATGGGAGTCACCTTAGTGCAAAGATCAGTTTGTACAACGGCACCATGATGTGCTAATTTTTACAAACACTTGAGTGCATTTCAGGCCAGAGATGTTTACCACTCTGTTGATACCATGAGCACTCCTGTGGCTGACAAACCAAGGATAAATGAGGGTAAATAGGGGTAAATGAGGGTAAACAGGGGTAAATAAGGTTACATATGGGTAAATGAGGGTAAATGGGGGTAAATGAGGGTAAATGGTGGTAACTGAAGGTAAATGGGGGTAAATGGTGGAAATGGGGGTAAATGAGGGTAGATTGGGGTAAATGGGGGTAAATGAGGGTAAATGGGGGTAAATCATGGATTCCAACCCATGACAAGCATACATTCTGCAGCCAAGGGATGGTACCTATAGCCAACACCATTGGACCGATTTGCCCTCTGTCCTTTGAGTACCAACTGATTCATAGTTGACTGTACAAAGTACATTATTTGGTGTATATTTACTTGTACAATGGTATGATAATTATCTATACCCAAAATGCACTGTTTTGTTTTTAAGAAGTTTTAATGTTTGTAAAAACGACATCAAATGGCGGTGTACTTGTACGTCAAACGGTGAACAGCACCAACACATAAACCATTGTTCACTGGTTGATGAAGCTAAATTGACTTACCTATCATGGTTTTCTTCCTCCTCTTCTTTGCTAAGGAGATCTGGAGGAGGGGGAGGTAACTCTTCTCCATCGGAAGGGATCTCTGAGTCTGAAATTTTTGGTGGCGATGGTGGTGGTATGTCTGACAGAGTCCTCTCACGGCTGTTCTTGGATGTTGTCACGGCAACCTGCTGGGCAGGGGCGGAGTTTTCCTTGTTGCTTTCCTCAACCAAGTTCCTGATGTCAATCATAGACTGCTCCTTCGAGGGCGATGTTGCTTCCTGGGCAATCAAGGGGTCGCGTTTTATTGTTGTTGGGTAGTTGATTGTTGTTTTTGTATACTGAATTGTCATTGGCTGAGCTGACATCCTTCGTCTTGATTCCATTCGCAATCTCTCAATGTATGCATCTTCTCGTGGAGAACTTTCAAACTGTCGTTTCAAGTCGCCAAAGTCCCTCTTTGATCGGTCGATGCTGTCATCCTCTTTCTGGGAGTGATCCTGATCCACAGCTGCAGTGCGTTTACTGAGCACGCGGCCTTCGGAGTGCCGTCTGTAGTTTCTAGGTGGCAAGGCGGGTGGCTGCTCAACTGGGCTCGGTGACCGTGGCGGCGGGGGAGGAGGTGGTCGGCGAGCAGAGAACAGATTCTGATATGTTGGTGATGCAGTGAGGCCGGAGTCCATGCTTGCACTGAAACACAGAAAAACAATCATCAATGAATGGCATCATTTGTCTGCCTGGTACATTGACATGTACTCGCTCACTTACATGCTGAAAAAGAGGATACAGGTTCTGTGTGTGTGTTTGTTGTTTATCGTCGCACTCAGCAATATTCCAATCAATTGAGGACCAGATAATCCACTGATCCAGTGATCAGCAATGATCTATGCTATCGTCCATTGACAGTCACCATGCTTGACCACCAAATCTATAAGGTTGCAACCAGCATAGGTTGCTAGAGACTAATTCCAATCCGGAATGCCTATTGGTTCAATGGACTGGATTGTGTTATACATTATGATTATTATGGTACATTATGATTAACAAATCTTTATCATTCTTCTTATATCATAATTCTTTTCAGACTTTTGTTTTTGATTTCAGTTTTAGTTTCAAATTATGAAATCAAAATATTTAAAATATTTTACTTATCAAAACACTCATTTTCAATTTAAATACCTCCATTTGGATGTAAAATGCCACAAAGCTCATAAACCTCACAGTTATGACATAGCAAAAACATTCTGAAGCACTCATAAAATACACCTGCTTCTCAGACAAAGGGACACAACTCTGTCAGTTCTATCCGACTCTGTCGACCTCCCTCACCTATAACAAACAGCCTGAGGCACTTCCCTGCTACACATGACTAGCAGCTAGTCACGCACACCGTCACTGGTGTAACTACTGGATGTCGCGTCCCAGCTGACAGTGGAAACTGATACTGTATATAGACAGAGACAAGTCACAATGACACTTGGTACATGGACCCGACCCGACCCGCCTGTGATTCAGCGAGGAAGCAGGTGGTGTGCCTGTATCCTGTTCAGTGACATCATCCTCGTCTTTGATGTAAATGTGTAGGTGGGCAAGCACATCAGGCTCTTTACATCCCACTCCATTAATAGTTGTTAAATAGGTCAAAAGAATCACACTACTAGCCTACAATACATTCAGAAACAGAGTTGACGTGTTCTACATAGTCACTGTGAAATGACATCTATTTGTACCTGACAAAAGTAGTCATTTTATACACATTAAATAATTTGTTTCCATATATTCTTATTTACAACTTTGAAGAAGACGATAAATCTGAATTGTTTGATGGGCATTACTTAGAAGTTGACGGATGACAAAGACAAGACAATTCATGGATAACAGGTTTCTTTATTTACTGTAAAGGTGACGTTTCAGCCTGACAATGGTATAAGGATCTATACCGAAACATCGCCTTTACAGTAAATAAAGAAGTTATCCATAAACTGTCTCTACTTTGATCTTAAATCTGTTGTTTTTCTCTCTCCATTATTTGAAAAGATTGTATGTGACAATGTAAGCTTCTTTTCTTTCTTCAAGTTTTGAAAGAACTTTAATACTGACCAAGAATATCCCAAAGTTCCCACATTTTAGGATTTTAAGTTGAATATGTACCAAAACCTCTCTCTCTTCATTAACATAGGTTTGGTCACAGCTGACCATCAGTCATAACACTGAACCAAGACCATCAACTGAACCAGTAGGGTCATCTCTCAATATTGACAAACATAACACCATCATGACTGACCAGTTTACCTCTCCGAGCACTAACGAATCTACACACCTGTCACATCCCTAATCCCCCTTGACCGACACTAATTGACCCCATTAGGCCGTCCGCACTCACCGTTCTCCGTGACTGTGTCAATGGCAACAAATCAACATGTTTGACCACAGCTTGTGGAGCTTGTGCACACACTGAGCCACTAAGATACACTACTACAATATATTGAGGCCGGTATTTATAAGCCAGTATCACTAACTGGGAGCAATTAAAAATACACAATTTTATACGCAAATGAGAATAAGAGAGAGAATTAATGGTTGTCAACTTATTCATGATGAGAAACACAAGGTTTCAGAGTATATGCTTACTCCTTCATCAATATGAGTGAGTGAGTATGGTTTCACGCAGCTTTTGGCAATATTCCAGCAATATTACAATGGAGAACGTATAAATGGGATTCACTCATTGTACCCATGTGGGGAACCAAACCCAGGTCTTTGGCATGACAAGCGAATGCTTTAACCACATGGCTACCCCACCGCCCCCTTCATGTGAATGAGTAAGCATATAGTCAGAAACGTTGTGTTCCTCCTAATATAGATGTTGACATCCATAAATTCTCTCTCTTCTACATGCATCACTTCCTAATGCCATTCAAAGACTCAAATGACAATGTTCCTAACAATTCAACATTTGACATCTGCCATGAATATTTATAAGTTACTTTCTTAATAAAAATGAGTGAGAGAGTTTTAAGGCACGTTTAACAATATTCCAGCAACTTCAAAAAGGGGGACACCAGAAACGGGCTTCACACATTGTACACATTGAACACAATCTTTAATCTGTTCACTTATTTGCCCAACATGTCCACATTGGAGACAAATGTTGTCAATCATTCAAATGACCACTTGAAACTCCCAAACCTATGACAATCACTCAGTAGACATATTCAACTTAATAGGGTCAGTCCTCAGTATTGTTGCCTTTGATAAGGTGTGACCGATATAGCCCGACAACAAAGGCTGTGTAATTCACGAGACACATATCTTAAGTGGATCGCAGTTGAATAGACACTCAGACAATTGACACTATTTGCTCGATAAAGTTGATGACCTTTGAACATGCGACACATGGAAAATGTCACTATTATCTCTGATATTCTGTATAATCCTCCATAAATCGTGTAGCAAGCATGTAGGGCTTAAAAACTAAGTCCACTCAGTAAAATAAGAAACTGTAAGAAATGAGTGAGTGAGTATGATTTTTTACGCCGCTTTTAGCAATATTCCATCACAGTGGGGGACACCAGAAATGGGCTTAACACATTGTACCCATTTGGGGAATCGAACCTGGGCCTTTGTCGTGACGAGCAAACACTTTAACCACTAGGCTAGCCCACTGCCCAGAAACTTAAAGAACAACTTTTCGACACTGTATGATGATGAAACGTCCACTGTATGGAAGTCCACATCTTTAATCTTATTTCACTTTCACTTTTTACCAGTAGAAGGGTATTATGATATTTTCTTGTTAAATATAGCCTTTTCGCAACACTTCCTTGATATTTGTCAATGCTTTTTATACCCTTAGGAAAAATGTGAAGTGACTACTAAAGTGGTGATTGGGTGGCCAGCTAAAGCCAGTGTGACCATCCGATCCTCATTCTAGCTCTTACAGCAAGGAGGTGACCTGTTCTGACCTGACCACAGGGTATCCCTCCGTGGAAGCCAATGTTAGTAAAACTGATCATTGTGAAGTAGTGCCCCTAGCCTCCAGACCAACGGCCAATGTAAGTAAAACTGATCATTGTGAAGTAGTGCCCCTAGCCTCCGGACCAACGGCCAATGTAAGTAAAACTGATCATTGTGAAGTAGTGCCCCTAGCCTCCAGACCAACGGCCAATGTAAGTAAAACTGATCATTGTGAAGTAGTGCCCCTAGCCTCTAGACCAACTGCAAATGTAAGTAAAACTAATCATTGTGAAGTAGTGCCCCTAGCCTCCAGACCAACGGCCAATGTAAGTAAAACTGATCATTGTGAAGTAGTGTCCCTTGCCTCCAGACCATCGGCCAATGGTGGTGGTCCAACCAGACACTTTCCATGAGGGAGATGCATCTGAAATACACCTGACAATTAATGGAGGACTTAGACAGACCCAGGGGTCAATGTCTGGTATACATCCAAGCCATGTGGATAACTGGCATACCTCCCTCCACTTGGAGCAGGTGCCTGACTGTATACATATGGAGTTGGTGGAAGGCAATTACTAAATGATACAATTGCACTGACAACAAACATATCGGGATCGACAAGCGATATTTCCCAAAATTGATACAATATGGACATGCTTTCAATGGCTACCCATGACCACTCAATAGACCAACTGCTTATCAATTAGCTGTAATCACCTGGCTGCTGATCAACCAGCAAAGAAAGCAAACAATTTATTTTTCTAAGGTCAAGTTGAGGTTAGCAGCTGCACATCCATGTTGTTGCTTTCTTTCCATTATCGCCTCAAGCCAAGGAGTATAACAACAAACAACATCTACAACACCACAAAAACTTCACCCAGCCACATATCCAAAAGTAAAAACCACTTATGTTGAAATCAAAAGATAATACTAGACACAACTTGAGTTAAATTCTTTACATCAAATCAAGCAAAAATGGTAAAACAGCGTTATGACTGTCACAAGTCTTTTTTAGCATATGATAGTCATGGGGCTAAGATCGCTACGTGAAATGGATCAGAGAGCTGTTAATGAGAGAGTGAGTTTGGTTTAATGCCGCTTTTAACAGTATTCCAGTTATATCACGGCAGGCCAGCTTAATGTGGGAGGAAATCCTCAAGTGATGCAGGTCTCAGAGGTTTACCATTTCGGTGAAACCCACAAGCACGAGTATGGTTCTGACAAACCTAGAAACATAATCGAGGCGAACCAGGATTCGAACCCACAATCATACGTCAAGGGGATGCAACTCTGCACAGTGAATTACAGCGCATTAGAAGACTGGCCACCCGTGCCCCAGAGAGAGCTGTTAATGAGGCTCAGGGGAACATTTACCTACAAAGTATGTGAAGTCATTTCTGTTATTACCTTACTGTACCGTACATATGCAACAAATACCAACTGCTGTCACTTCCATCTACCGTATTTGCAGTATTAAGCACCCTGTCCAATAAGTGGCCCCTTCTTAACTCCTTGCCCAATCTGTACATAGTCTTAATAAGTGTTCCATAAAGCCAGAAAATTTACCTGACAGTTTGTATTTTCTTGTAAATATTACAGATTATTTTACACAAAACCCAGCAATTTCACATAATATGTATGGTTTTAAGAAGCGCCTCCATTGTAAATTTTCTAAGAGAAAACTAATAACAGCAAATACAGTAAGTGCACTGACTACCAGTGTTCCTGTTCGC